TGCTAACAGAACGCTTCTCTGTGGCTGAAACGGTTAAGGCACGCCAGGCTATATGATGGTTTCGTATAGGATACAGGTTCAATTCCTGTTGGAGGATTTTATATGAAAATTTATTGGACATTCAGGTTGGTAAATGTTTAATACTGCTTATTATAAACAGAGCATTTACTTAAATATTTGTATCTATAAAAAGAATGTATAATCATAAAAATGTCTTAATATAGTTATACGCATCGAGCAGATATAAATGTACGTGAGAAAATCATGGAAAATTGTAGTTTAAAAACAGTAAAATCGACCTTGCTAACCGAAACGCTCTTTTGTGGCGAAATCGTTAAAAGCACGTCAGGCTATATGACGGTTCTGTATAGGATACATGTTTGATTCCTGTCGGAGGACGAATATTTTCTATGAAAATTTCTCGGACATTCAGGTCGGGAAATGTTGTTTAATACTGTTTATTATAAACTGAGCATTTACTTAAATATTTGTATCTATAAAAAGAATGTATAAGCATAAAAATATCTTTTATATATATATATATATATATATATATATATAAACACTTGAAGTTTTTTCTTCAACTAATATGTAGTTATAAATGCGGCATAATATAATAATTGTTTTATTTTTTCTACACTAGAAACTGCTTTATTAAGTTCCTTTGATGATCAACGCCCATGGTATGCTCCAATAAGTTTGTAGTTTTTAATGAATGATCCACGCGGGTGTCTGTTCCACATAACAGCAGTTCTTTTGAAGAAAGAAAAAACAGAGTAAACATTGCTTTTCTTATTTAGAATACGGACGAAATAAAAATTGTTCAAAACCATTAAATTGACATGGCGCCTTCTAGCTACCAAGTTCTGAACTGCTTGAACTGAAAAATGTTTGCCATGGAAAACACACTTTCCTACAACTTAACGTAACTATCCAGTGTCCTTGCAATAAATATTTTTGTGATAAATTTTTCTGTCGATCTTTCCCAGGCATCCATGACGGGAAGTGCGGACGGCAAACGATAAGTTATCGACAAGCCCAGCTTTAAGAATATAAGCGCAGTACTAGACTGGTAACATTTTACAGTTGAAATGATGTAATCGTAAATTCTATACTAACAGTATCTTCTCCCGCATTTCTCACTTGTTGAACTCTCTTCCGACATCTTGCATTCAACTTGTAGTGGATCTAAGAAGGATGCGTGAATATTTAAAATTGTGCTGCAAATAAAATATGCAATATCCTCAAACATAAATTATAAGAAATAGCCAAATGGTAACGATATTCAATCACGACAAAAAATACATGTTTAAAACAACAGATTAAATTTTATATACACAATTTACAATTTCTTTGTTTGTAATGATGTGTGCAAAGGTATAGAGAAAAAGTTATTTGCTGTCTCAGAAATGTTCAATGTCTAAAAAGTTGTCTGCCTTTGATTGAAAGGTTGAATTTAACTTAGACAAAAGATTTTTCTGTGAAAGATATGAAGTGAAAACGTTTGTTGTATGAATTTTTCCAATCTCTCATGAAAAAAAAAAAATTGTTTCTTTGGCGGTAATTTTTGACACACAATTTTCGTGTGTATCTTTGCCTGTGTGAGCCTCAAAATGCGACGAAAATTCGTTTGCTGTTTCTATTTATAGTTTTTTTTTTATTTTTTAACAACAAAATCGGCTCCAGCGGCTTAGTAGCTTGTTGCGAATTTTTCTGAGAAATGCGTGGGCGAATGTTATATATATTTTTTTATTATTTTAGCCAATAGGATTTCTTGAAACATTTAAATTAGGGATGAATTTGAGAAACATTTTTTTTAATGTCAGTTGAGCCTATTTTTACACAATTTTTTGACTTTTTTGTTATGGAAATTTCTCGAAGATTATTTTTATTTAACAACCAATGAAATTCAAGAAAATGTTTGAAAATTGAAATGAGGGTTACTAAAAAGTTAACTTTGATCATCAAACTTTTACAACATCAATCGCTGTCTTCGGTCTTCTTAATTCTTGTTCTTTGATTGTTCTCTCTCCTGAATAAAGTTTTTTCTTTTTCTCGTATTCTTTCATATTAACACCTTTGTATCTTAGTGGCTTTATTGCCTAGCTTGGCGGGAGAAAAAATTACAAGAATAAAAACCTAAAAATGAATCGACCTACTGGGGTTGATGACGGGGCTGTTAAATTGTATTGAGGGATAAAAGTGAAATGCCGGCTCAAATTAAATTAGTCTTGCATGAAGCTACTTATAATTAAAATAATCAGATTATAATTGTATTTGCCCTTCCCTTCGTTAGTTCTTACGACTGTTACGCCTAGCAATACTTCATTAACCCCGTTTTCATTGCGTTGAAAAGGAGAAAAAGGACACTACTTGGTTTCAGTGAAAGAAAGAAGAAATCATAGAATTGGAGATAAAGAATCAGTTTAAGCAAATAAGAATAGATTCAAAACTTTGATTTTAGTCAAAATGATGAGAATTCTGACGACCATTTTTCAGACTCACTATATCGAACGACGGAAAACGAGTAAGGCCATCACCTAAAATTCAGTTACCATGAATAAAATAACATAGTCTACTGAATTATTTTTTAATTATTATTAAGGGACATGTTCGTAATACGGGGATTTTGCTAGAAAGAAAGCAATCAAGAAAGAAAGCAAGAAAGAAAGAAAGAAAGAAAGAAAGAAAGAAAGAAAAAAAGAAAGAAAGAAGTGAAGATAAAAGTGTTTAACGTCTCCTGTCAATACCTCATAACTAATGGACTATTCCGTTTTGATTGCATAAAAAAATCGCTACTTGGTTTCAGTGAGGAAAAGAAAGAAAGAAGAAAGAAAGAAAGAAAGAAAGAAAGAAAGGAGTGATGATAAAAGTGTCTAATGTCTCCCTCCAATACCTCATAACTAACAGACTATTCCGTTTCGACTGCATAGAAAAACAAAAAACAAATTCGCTACTTGGTTTTAGTGAGAAAAAGAAACAAACAATGATGTGTTTAAACACTGATTTAGGGAAATGGAAAAAGTTGTCAGTTTCAAATCTTTTCATTTCTACCCACTTCTTAAAATAACGGCCAACATTCATATTTATGACTGTTATTAAAATATTGTGTCAAAGTTAAACTCAGATATTTAACGATGTGATAGGTGAATGTCTACGGATATGTCATTGACGTCGAAATTGGCATGAGCTTATTCAATCACTAACTGAAGAATTAAGTAATACTCACCAGAAAATTCAAATAAGAAAACAGTGAAATATTCACGAGTCTTTCTAGGAATAATAATAATAATAATAATAATAATAATATCCTGAAGGAGATGCGCGTAAAAGGAAGAGATTTGCCGTCGCTCGATCGCCAACGAAGTAGTGGCAGTTCTGGTGTGCAAATATACATCGAAAATAATAATGATAAACAAGGGAAGAAAATGCAATGCAAATCACATGATAAAACAGATCGACAATAAATCAAATTCAAAAACCACTTCTTTATCGACGATCGTATATTCTCTAAAGAGTCTAATCTGTTTAGTAGCAAATCTATCATTTCATATCTGTGCCATTACAGACTCTCCTCTTCCACAATGCAAAGTCAAAATCACCCCACCGCCATCAACACCATTAGTCTGATTAACATTTTTTACTCCTTCATTTTGACTGGTTGAACGCCTGTCTTCCATCTCCGCTGACGACTTCACGCGCATGCGTACAATTGTCATGTGAGCCATGTTCTAGTGATATCAAACAGTCAACCAGTGTGGGATAAAATTCGCCCATTACATGTGGATTCGATCGTATGCCGGCGCCAGGCTTGAGCTCAAGATAATTTTGGACACATTTCTTATAGCTTTGCAGATAGATAAGATAAAATATGTCTGTCTGCTAGGGGTGGAAGAAACAAGATGGAGGAATAGAAAAAAATATTTGTATGTATACATATATCACTATACTTTATGGGATAGCAATATATAAATCTTTATATATCACGAACAATTTTGGAGAAAAGATTTATGAAAAAGTGTAAAAAGTTTTCGTCATAGGCGTTTCGTCCTTTAGGACTTCACTGGACTAAGTTGTTTACGTTGATGTGACTACGCATGTGCACGAACAAGACATGCTGGGAATTTATATATATATATATATATATATATATATATATATATATATATATATATATATATATATTATTTTTACATACGTACCAGAAATGTTCATAAACATTTCGGTACTCACCAGTCGAATGCAGCCGCATCGAAACAAGAATGCATCTTTGTAGTGAGCAAGTTGTTTTAGACCGTATGTAAAAATTATAATAAATAATTATTGCCCTACTCTTGGTATCGAGCCATCTTTTGAAATAATGCTGTGAACGTGTTGTGGTGTCCTCCCTCTAAAGGGTCTGTTGGACTCGCTCTCCTACTATAGGACTGTTAGGAAAGAAGGCCTTAGGGGAACAGTCGAATATATTGAACGCTGGGTCAGCCTACAAAGATGTTGTGACCAAGTAAATGTTTAAAGAAATAACAATACAAGTGTTGCAGATACATCATATATTAAGCAGTAAGTACAACAGAAGAGTATTACACAACTAGTGAGTATGTTTCAGTTCATCCAGCGTTCAATCTATTCGACTGTTATATTTAACACCCTCACAAGGGATGTATGTGGCACAAGACCGAGTTTACGTGGGTCCTCTGAGCCCATATAGTCGGCTAAAAATGTTCCCTTAGAACCCGCATAAAATAGCAATTTTGTTTCAGCACTTCTGGTGTCTTAAACACCAGAGGTGTTGAAACAAAATGACTATTTCTGTAGTGATTTTTATAACATATTTATGTCATAATTTCCAAATAAATTACATTTCCTCTCCTCCATATTAAGCACTCTTTTAAGAATAGTATTTTTTGGTTATTGGAATTTATTCCGTATACACCAATCCTAAATGTGACTATATATATATATATATATATATATATTGGTGTATGTATATCTCTGTATGTATGTATCTATCTATCTATCTATCTATCTATCTATATATATATATATATATGTATACTTATTTTTTCGTGTATATATATATATATATATATATAACCGATTTTCAAACAGTCAATGGATGACTTATTTTTGCGCAGCAGTATATACATACATACATACATACATACATACATATATATATATATATATATATATATATATATATATATATATATATATATATATATATATATATGTAGCTCAAAACCTAATGGTAGAACTTAACTATTAACCAAAACATGGTGGGAATAGAATGAGTCGAACTTATATATATTATTATTATTATTATTATTATTATTATTATTATTATTATGTATATATTTTTTATACAAACTTCAATTATCGTCTGTTATAAAGAAAATATTTAATTTAATATGTGTTGTTCTATTTATATAATAATAGCTTCTAAAACGTTATGTCTTTCTTTGCAGTGTGTGCTGTATAGTATCAGGTCATTGCAAAAATTTGTGTCCGATTTTGATTGTTAATATAAAATGACCACAACTTGAGAGTGGCGTTTGTTTTTGAGACAATTTCTGATGTGTTTGCGATCGAATCGTTGCATCGTTCAGTTGCGAGTCAGACAGTGTTGAATGAAAATCCGCAAGTAACTGCGTCAAAGACGGAGAATGAAAAGTTTACACTTTCACCATATTTTTCCCTTTGAATTTCGGAAAAGAGTACACGTCGGAACTGCGACAAAAATCATTCAGAATGTTTATTTGGCTCGTGCTCCAGTTCTTCGGGCGTTCAAAATGTGTTTGGGCAGATTTCGTCAGGGTGATTTTTATCTAGAAGTTATCTGTAGACATGAGCAGAGGAACAAACACAGTCTACACTCGAAGTTAAATAAAAGGTTCAGGTCAGTAGTCACTGGATGTTACCCAGAACGATATACACCTGAGGAAGGCCGGGGGCCACAACGGTCGAATCGTTGTGGTAACAATAACAAAGAGTAGGACTATAGTCCGAATATAAATCTTGTAAATAAAGGAGGTTTATACTTAGAATCATAAAGAGACAGCTGAAATTTCTGGAATATTATGAGAAAGGAGGGCGTGGAGAATTTGACATTCATAGGTCAAATATGAGAAGAAAGGACAAGGAAGCAGCGGGCCACTTTCCTGATCACCTTGCGTGAATAAATGGCGGGACAATGGAATAACAAAAAAGATAACCATTACAGTATTTATTCTTGAAGAATTTAAATTATTTTTGAAACGTTTCATTTTTAAAAAATCTTGCTAAAAATATTGTTACATTTGTTACGCCACACCTATTTAATTTAATAAAATTTCGAGTCTAAATATTTTGATCTTTTCTCTTAATAATAACAAATATTTAGAGTCTAAATGTTTGTTATTATTAAGAGGAAAGATCAAAGTATTTTTTAATTATATTTTAAAATTTTTCCATCATTTTAGAACATTCTAAATTCTGATAAAAAAAAAACTTTGTTTCTCTTTGTATCATCGGAGCTAGTAAAATAACAAAATTTTAACGCATTTTTTTCCTGTATGACAGACATTTTTTTTGCTTCAATCCAGATTAATTAAACTTTAACACGAGTTAAATAACGTTTCGAAAAAGTATGTATTATTCCCGAAAGATCTTTTAATAAAGATAATTATGCTGTGTTGCCAGATTTGGACGACTTTTGCGATTTTATTGATGATCTCCCAAAAATCATTTCGAATAAGTTTAAATTCAATTTGAAATACAGATTTTCTTTTTAATTTTAATTTCAAATTTTAATTTTAATTTTTTTTTTCAAAATTCAATTCAAAATACAGCCTTTTTTGTATTTTGCTTATTGGAAATATTAAATTTAATCTATTAGCTTGCAGTTAAATCTAAAATAAAAACTTCAAGAAATATGTTTAATTGTTAAATTCATTTTTTTTAGGTACGGCTTTCTTAGGTACACACACACACACACACACATATATATATATATATATATATATATATATATATATATATATATATATACAGTGTAACCGGGATATAAGAGACCCGGATATAAGTGAGATTTTCTCTGGTCCCAAATTAGAGCCTGTGTTAATGTATATAAAATAGACCAAACCCGGATATAAGAGAAACTCGGATATAAGAGACTTTTTCTCCGGTCCCGACAACTCTCTTATATCCGGGTTACACTGTATATGAAGAAAGACAAAAGGAAAAGTTATCTTAGCACACGCGTTCCGTTCTCTGTGGAACTATCTCAAGTCAGACAAATGCAAGGATTTTAATTATAACAAATATTCATAGACAAAATCAAAATTGATTTTAGTTTTTTCAAGATTATTAAATTTAAGAAACGCTCCTCAATATTCATCAGGTTTACTGAAAAGTCCAGGTATGTTATGGAGGACGCTAAGTGACATAACTTAATCTCTAATAAACGAAAGTTTAAATTTCTATGCAAGTTAATATTTAAATTAATTTAGTCTGGGATTAGTTTTATATATATTTTGTGTTATATATTTTGTGTTATATATTGTATGGTATATATTTCAGATAAGATGAGGTTATGAATGTAAGTGTTTTCTTTTAATTTTTTTGTTATTTACATTTCAGTTAGCCTGATGAATATTTACGAGCAATCCTTGAATTTAATAATCTTGAAAAACCAATTACGTTTTTGCACTTGTGTAGGAAGAGTTGTTGCAAAATAAAATTCTTGCATTTGCCTTGATAAATATGTTTAATTTTTAAATTCATTTTAAACATTGGGTACGGCTTTCTTAGGTACACGTACACACACACACAAAACACACACACACACACACACACACACACATACTCGCATATGTGTCTATTTGTGTGTGCGCGAGTGTTTATTTTCTATTCGTAAAACTTGTTTCTCACATAATTTGTCCTTGGTAGCCTTTCGTCGGTAGAATTATATATATATATATATATATATATATATATATATATATATATATATATATATATATATATATGTCTTAGTATGACATCCCAGTGAATGCAAATAATTATAAAATACTTGAACTCATTACGGGCAATAAATTATAGAGATGAACATAAAAAAAAATCGCTTAAAAACCCCCGATTGCTATCGTCTTTTGATGTGGAAATAAAGAGTTTCTTTTTGTCATCATCTGTTTTTTTTTCTTTTATTTAAATTTTTTTCTTTTTTTGTTTTTTTTTCTTTATTTATTTTTTTTATTTGTGAGACAGTGCGGCTGTGACAGAAAATATTATCCCCCTCGAGTCTCCTGAACACGAAAATCTAATGTCATAACACAGAAATACGGAGATGTTGAAAGCTATTAATTCGTCGGCTTGATCCACTTTTCTGATAGTTCAACATGAGTAACAACAGATAAGACATAAAAACGTATTCTTTGTTTGCTTCCGTCACTTTGATCTTTCCTATTAATAGGCGTCTAAGATTGCGATTCTTTTCAAAGGGTGGATATTTGTATTTAGTGGCAGTAGCCGTGAAAATTTCAGACTTATGCTATTTGAAAATTCTGATGACTCATAATTCTTTATTTAATGACTGAATAAGCAACTTGCGTGCTCTACAAATATAAAATCTCTCGTAGTAATTTCCTACTTCATCATTTAATAACTGAGCTGGACAACTTTAACAAAATATTGCTAGAGAAATCATAAATATGAACGCAGGTCCTTATTTAAAGTAAAAGGGTACAAATTAAAATTGACAAGGTTTTCCATTTCATTGAAGCAGACATAAAACGCATGAGAGCCTTATCACGTTGTCTTTTTTCTCTTTCAGTTTTACTCTTCTTGCTTTATTACTTTCAGTCATTTTTTATTAATTTTCCTTTTTTCTTTCTGTCTTTGTTTCCTTCATTCTTTTCTTTCCTTTCTTTTCTTTCCTTTCTTTTCTTTCTTTTCTTTTCTTTCCTTTCTTTTCTTTCCTTTCTTTCTTTTCTGTCCTTTGTTTTCTTTCTTTTTGTCATTTCGTTCTTTCTTTTTCTTTTATTTCTATTCTTTCGTCCTTTCTTTTCTGTCCTTTCTTTCTGTTGTCTCCCTTTATTCCATCTTTTCTGTCCTTTCTTTCTTTGTGACCTTTTTCTTACTTCTTTCTTACGTTTTTTCTTTTTTATTCTTTCTTTTTATCCTTTCTTCTTTTCTATCTTTCTTTCTTTTCTATTATTTCTTACTTTACTGTCTTTCTTTTTTGTTTTCCTTTCTTTCTTTCTAACGTATGCACTCTTTTTCTCACTCCAAACAATGTCTCATATATAAATATTTTTTCTTCTTTCCTTGCAATAAAAGAGAAATAGTCCATTATTTATCTGAAGCATATATCGAAGAAACTAGAAATGTTATATAATGTAAATATATATATATATATGTATACACATTTGCATTTAAGATATATATTTACACAATTTCAAGCTGTTCTAATTCAATCCTTAATAAAGACGCCTGTTCAGATACATTTGTGTTTGTCCAACACCCACAGAATCGCAACGATTTTGAACAGATTTTGTTAAAATTTCTGGGAGAGGGGCATTATCTGGTATAATCAGCAGTTTGCACAAACTATTTCTTATGATGGCATGTGACTACGTACTAACACAACCATCGAAGGCTTGAGAACAGTTCCGCCCAGACAATTTCACTCACAAGGGCTGGGTCAACCGGGAAGGTTTTTTTTTTTACCTCCCCAGACTGATAACATCTGCCACATTTCTGGCAGATCGACCACGGTGAATTTTGAACACTGGTTTCATGGTTAGAAATGTATGCATACATCTGCGTGTGTGTGTCTGCTCGCGCGTGTTTGTGTGTGTGTACGTGTGTGTGTGTACGTATGTGTGTGACGATTTGTGAAATTCAGCTAGCAATTCATGATTTTCTAAGTTATTCGCAAATTTGATAAATCCAATTCACAATAAAAGTAAACGACAGGAAATCATGGAGAGCCACGACCGTGTCATATAAAATAAGAAACATTACCATACAAAATTTAAAAAAAATTGTGAAATTAGGTTGTTAATCATGACTTCAACCCTTTGAGCCTTGACCACCGATTTACCGGTGTTAGAGAAAAATGACGGATGAACAGTGGCAGAGAAAAATGACAATGCCCAACCACCGGTTGAACGGTGGGTAAACACTTGTAACTATTTTTATATCTACCGTGAAACATTACATACCAATTATTTGCGAATTTTGACTTAGGAGCTCAGGCATAAGGGTTAAAATTCTTCAAGAACGCTACCCGGTTTCACTTATTCTCGGGGAACGAAGTCGTGACATGGAAATTCAGACGGAAATTGTCGAATGGTTATGGACCTGGTGTCATACACCAATGGAGGCAGTCAGAAAAATGGCATCATCAGTTGCAACCGATGTCAAACCATTTCTATACAAATGTAGAGACCTAAATCTTGTTCTATCAAGCTTATTAATCCAGACATCGGTCTGTTCTAGAAGAGTAGTGGAAAGAGGAGGGCACGCCCTCGTCAGCGAAAGGATTGTCCACAACCGCTGAAGAACACATCAGTTGGAATATGGTCTTTTCGAACATATTTAGGCATTACTTAGCAGAATAATGATCGAATCAGACAAATACAGAATCCAGTAACATCTGAATAAGCTGTACAAAAAATTTCAGAGCGTCAAGGCTTGAGATAACAACAACAAAGATAAGGACAATCGTCTAGGGTGGGTAACGATTATCCCACGCTATACGAAACAATTTGTGATAGATATCAGAACGGAATTGGTAAAACGTCTTTGAATTTCGAGAAATTTTCTTTTTTCACTTAGCATTCAGGAGTTAAATGAATTCTCATCACTAATTTAATTTTCAGCGCTTGATATTTTGGCAGAAATATCTTGTTACTGGCATGTCACAAAAGTTGTCAGATAAGAGTGGTGTTTGAGCAAGAAATTGAAAAAATACAGCAAAGATATATGATCCCGATAATCAATTTTGTATTAAACAAGATCATATAAAGAAATGAAAACTAGTTCAGGATTTCTATTTTTAAAACGCACGAATACACTTAGATGATTTTAGAATGAATTGGTGCATTATTTACATTATTAGGACTTCATTGCCATTTTCGAACCGATTCCTTTATTTAGATAGCAGATTCTTTAATTCCCCGTGTCATGCCTCTTCCCTATAAATCAACAAGTATTTGCTTAACCACAACTCTTTGGATCTAATCACTGTACATAACCAGCGTCTTTATCTACTGGGACATGTGTCCTTGAGGACATCTGTATCCGAATTTTGGGGACTTATAAAGCAAATGTGCTAACAAACATTTTTTACAAGTGCTCATATTGCATTTTTTCTGTGCTTTTTTACCAAAGCTTATATTGCAATTTTTGTTATTCATCGCTTTTCTCTAGCACCCCTTATTACTGGTTCCCGTATTGTAATCATTTCTATGCTTGGTTGGCCCAGGAAATTTTTGTGGCCTAGAATATGTGCTGAGTTTTTAATTTGGTGCATATATAAAAGCTACCAATAAACAACATCTGCTGCCATATTTAGATTAAATACCGGTTTTAAGTCAATCATCAGTGTCAATCTAGCTGGGGGAGTAGGTGGAAGCTCGGATTGAGGAATAGGAGAGTCGACTTCGGATTTCAGTTCAATTCATTACGTTCACTTACATGCTAATATCCTTGGGAAATGTATAAATCCATCTCTTCTGCTCCCAGATCACAGGACAAACTGGGTCCTATAGCCTTGGTTAGAAACTCTGAATTCAAACCGTATCGCATTAACCTAAAAGTGTGGATACATGCGACTTGGGAACGCTTGTGCATCTAAATTCCCACAGGATCTGCGACTATCGATTTGTGCGTCTGAATAAATATGGCCTACGCTTGGTGGCTTTTCGTTCGGATGCGTCGGGTTTGTTTGAAGGAGCCAAGGATTGAGTGCCGCAACAGGTATAATTAAGCTAGTTTTCGTATTCATTTCGTATTTTTAAAAGTGATATTTTTCTTTCAAGACGTAGGCAGTCATGGCTCTCCACTGATTTCTTTTTTTCATCATCTTTGAGTTGTCATTCTTGGGAAGTTGGTACAGTGCTCACCCATAGCTTTTCTAAGTGGTTTTGCTTTCAGGGTAGTATTTCTCATTGATTGGCTACCATCAGTGGCAGCGAGAGAGGCCTCAAGAAAATACCTTTAGGGGTTTAGGGAAGGCTTTCTTACATAGAGAACAAAATTACGAATCGGTATTTTAAGTCAAACCAGTTCCAAAGCATCTTAAAAGCGCATTTTTCGAATTTTCATTGAAGCAAAACGGGCGATGAAACCCGAGGGACCTCAAGAAAATACCTTTAGGGTTTTTTTTTTTTTGGTGGGGGGGCTTCTTTACAAAACATAAAGAGCAAAGTTACGAATCGGTATTTTATTGAAAAAACCAGTTCCAAAGCAGCTTAAAAACGCATTTTTCGAACTTTGAAGCAAAACAGGTGATGAGTTACTCAAATTCTAATTCTCGTGCCAAATCACACTCGATCGCAAGGGTTGCCAAGTTGGTACGGTGGTCTTGAAGCATTGTTTTGGGTTGATAGTTCATTATTCCTTTTAAGTGATTAAAAGTGCGCACTGCAGATGCAACTGTGGTAGGAATAACGCAGAATATTCGCAGAGAAACAAAAAATATTATGGAAATTTCCCGACAACCCCAACGCATTGATCCTGTTCAACATTTCAATTGGCTTCGCAATATTCTCGATGGGGGGATCCATTACAATACAGTTCGAAATCGTCGTGAAATATCTTTAAATGCACAACGTCGTCTGCCAGTTCCATAAAAACGTCCTTCGGATATTTATCAGTTCATCAGTTGCAAGAAGCTAATGGAGATACCTGACCATCCCACGCAACAATTTACAACTGTATCCGTATGTGCAAGGCTTGGGGACAGTCGCTGCTTGATACTTAAAGAGAGTGCGGACCTTACGAAGTTTTGGGAATGTTGTATTATTAGAATGACATGCATAAATATTTGTCACAAAATAATAATAATAATAATAATAATATACAAATAAAGACCTTAATAGAAAAATGATATATCACAATACCACCAAACAGACACGCTTACAGGCAGCCTTGTAAGACAAATTCGGTCGAGTATATTTGTCTCGGCAACTTCTTTTGCGACATTGGGGTCAAAATAATCTGAGTGCCGGACATCGGAATTTCTCTCCCCAGTACTGGCTACTAACCAATTCTATAGAGATCAGTCTACAATGTTATTATGTCTATATCCTAGGAAAGAGATGAACTCATAAGTTTATAAAGAACATTAGTACGTTAGTGAACGCAACAGACTAGAGCGGAATTTGAACTCGGATTGCCGATTCCACTTTCCACTTTCCACGTTGATAGCCTTTGCGCTACCCGCACATCAATTCATTACAAATAATATGAAAACGAAAAATCTAAAAATGTCTATTTTCTTATTTTCCACTATTTACATTCCGACTATTGTCCTCATTTTTTATCACACTGTTTCTGCCTTTGTGCTCTCAGTCTTCATCAGGTTTATATCAATCCGAGTAACCTACAGAGAATTCCGAACTGAGCCCTTTATTTAATCTACAGAGGTAGAGTGTTCTCGTTCCACTACTCATGTCTAGTGATATTTCGTATAGTTTTTATTTTAAGTACTGCTCAGTTATTGCTCGTCGTGTTTCCAAGTACACACTGCTCGGGACAGGGACTGAACCGAAAATTGCTACGTCATTAAACTTCACGAAACAAAGGTTTAATCCAGTAGGCTGTTGTTCCGTAGGACAATTCTATATGGAATTGCTGCTAATGCTCTTGAAACCTTACAGTCGTTTGATTTTGTTTTTTTCTTCTTAGCTAAAAATAAAGACGAATTGATAAACAAATTGATATATATATACAGTGTAACCCGGATATAAGAGACCCGGATATAAGAAAAACCAGGATGTAAGAGAGATTTTCTCTGGTCCCAAATTAGAGCCTGTGTTACCTAAACAAAATAGACCAAACCCGGATATAAGAGAAACCCGGATATAAGAGACTTCTTCTCCGGTCCTGATAACTCTCGGGTTACACTATATATATATATATATATATATATATAAATTAGCTAATAAGGAAAGAAAGACGAGACTTACAGTCGCGATTGTAACAACAGGGAAAAGCTTCAGCGAGTATAGTCAAGCATGACAAACAGCAGCAGCA